ATATAGTGTGTGTGTGTGTGTGTGTGTGTGTGTGTGTGTGTGTGTGTGTGTGTGTGTGTGTGTGTGTGTAGCTATTATTTATTTGATTATTATAATATGTTAATGAATAATATGATTGATAATTATAATATGTTTTGACATTATTGTCATAAGATACTGATACGGTTTTTTTAATTTCTTAAGGTACAATTCATTAAGTAAGATAGAGACATATAAGAAACATAAATATATTAACAAATTTAATATTTTAAAGAATTAAAAATAATGAAAAAAATATTCTTATATACATAATACATAACATTATTATTTAATTTTGTTTATCAAGTTTATATTGCAATTTAAAATAAAAAATATCGCAAACAGTTTCTGTTTAACTTCAGATTTTATTCACTATAATAAGATAAAAATATAAAAATTACAATAGAACAAATATAAAATTTATTCATATTACAATAATAATATATAAAATATTTAAATTATTACAAGCATTATATAAAGTCATAAATTAAAATAAAAATTGTTAAAAAAATAAAATATCACGAAAAAAATGTATAATTAAAAGAAGAATAAAATCAAACGGATAAAAAGATAATATAAAAGTTAAATAGATAATGCATTTAAGTTTATATTTTTAAGTTTATATGTATTTATTTGTATTCTTTTATACACACGCATACACGTCCATGCACACGTATGTTATATATAGAAAAAACGTTTTTCGTTTAAAATAATTTATATCTTTTGTTTATTTCGTTGTTATTATAAATGATTTTCCTCATTCCTAATCTATTTTCATCTTTTGCTAATGCAATTTTTTATCTTTATAACGCTTTATGTACGTCGGATTTTTATTAATCTTTATTTTGATTTTATAGTAAAATTATGTTTATTTATAATTTCAATTGGTCATTTGTTAATTTCATGAAAATAATTAATATGTCAGTATCTATCTGTTTACACTGTTTACACTTTCTATAAATTGGAATTTGTATATAATTTATATATTGAACCAATTAATATTGAACCAATTAATTTAACCATATTGAAGGTAGATTGCTTCAAATATCATACAAATTGAAATGATAAAAATAAAGTCAACAAATTTACCGCTACTTTATATATTTTTATCTTTTATCAGTATGATTATTTATTTAGATATTATATTAATAATTTTATATTATCCTTTTATCCGTTTGAATCTATTTTTCTTTTAATGATATATTATATATTTTTTTCGTGATATTCTATTTTTTTATTTTAATTTATGGCTTTACATAATGCTTGTAATAATTTAAATATTTTATGTATTATTGTAATATAAATAAATTTTATATTTATTCTATTGTAATTTTTATATTTTATCTTACTATGATGAATAAAATCAAACTAAAGTTAAATGGAAACTGTTTTGTGATATTTTTTATTTTTAAACTGCGACATAAACTTGATAAATAAAATTAAATAATAATGTTATGTATTATGTAAGAATATTTAATTTCATTATTTTTAATTCTTTAAATATTATATTAAATTTGTTAATATATTTATATTTCTTATATGTCTCTGTCTTACTTAATGAATTGTACTTTGAAAAATTACTTTAAAAATCGTATCAGTATCTTATGGCAATAACGTCAAAAC